TATATATATATATATTAGCCCGAGAGGGAGAGCTGAAGTTGGCAGCCAGAGGCCCCTTTCTGAAAGGCCCAGTGAAATGTTGAGGGTTTAGGGTTTAGGGTTTAGGGTTTAGGGTTTGTGTGTTCACAGGAGGCAGAAGAGCGTGCATGCAGAGAAAGTGCTGCAGCACAACAAAAAGAGATGTGGCTTAAAGAATTGCAGCAGCAGCAGCAGCAGCAGCAAGCTGCTGCTGTGCTGCTGCTGCAGCAGGCGGCGAGAGCTTTTATTGATAGAGTTAAGGGTGCTGAGAAAAAGCAAACAAAAAGAAAAGAAAAAAAACAAAAAAAATAAAATAATAAACAAAACAAATAACAAAATATATCAAAGTAAATACAATAAACAAATAAACAGAAAAATTATATATAAACAAACAAACAAAATAAATAAACAAACACACGAACAAAATAATAAACAAAAAACAAATATATAAACAAATAAACAAACAAATAAACAAAACAAATAAACAAATAAACAAACAAACACAATAAAACAAATAAACAAATAAACAACCCTAAACCCTAAACAACAAAACAAATAAAAAACAATAAAGCAAATAAACAAACGAAAACATAAAAAGGTAGAGACAAATAAACAAACAAAACAAACAAGCAAATAAGCAAAACAAACAAATAAACAAGTAAATTAAATAAACAAACAAAATAAACAAAATAAACAATGCTAGGGGAGTAAACAAACAAAACAAACAAACAAACACAAAAAAAACAAACGATAGACAACCACAGACAAACAAAAACATAAAAATGAAGCTAAAACAAACAAAAAACAAAAAACAATAAAACATAAAACAAATAAATAAATATATATATAAATATATATATATGTAAATGAATAAAAACATAAAACAAATAAATAAACAAACAAGCAAACAAATAAATAAACAAATAAATGCACAATAATAAACAAATAAACAAACAAATAAACAAATAAACAAAACAAATAGGCGGCACGAACAAACAAACAAACAAACAAAACACAAACTAATAAACAAATAAGCAAGGATAAAACAAACAAAAACATAAAACAAACAAACACAAGAAAAGAGAAAACTGTTAAATGCATCATTTAAGCTATTAAGAGATAAATAAACAAAAACAACAAAAAACAAGCAAACAAACAGAATAAGTAAATTAATTATTTATATTAATTATTTAAATTTATTATTTATTAATAAAATAAAAATAAATATATTAAAAATGTGTACTAATACAATTGACATCAATAAAAAATTAAAAGGTAATATAAAGAATAATTATTTATATAAAATAAATAATTAATTTAAATAATAAATTAATTATAAAAAATAAATAATTAAATTTGTCGTTTAAATTAATTAATTAATTTAAATGAGTTAAAAGCAACCGACAATTTATGCAGGCAAACAAACAACAGAAAATATAACAAAAAATAATAAAGAGAAAGAAGAGAGACAAAAATTATTTATTTTAATTAATTCAATAATAAATTTAATTAATTAAAATAAATAAAAAAGAAAAAAATATATAATTATAACGCAGGATATACACCCCGACCCTATGCAACAAAGAAAAACAAAAAGACAGACAAAGAAAATATAAATAAATAAATAAATAAATAAATAAATAAATAATTAGACATGCAAGCACATAAACAAGCGAACAAACAAACAAACAAATAAGCAAATAAACAAATAAGCAAACAAATTAATAAACAAACAAACAAGTATGCAAGCAAACAAACCTACGAACGAACAAACAAACAAATAAACAAACAAACAAACAAACAAACAAACAAACAAACAAACAAACAAATAAATAAATAGACAAGGAGGCAGCCTTCATCTGCACTTTGTCTGTGTCTTTGTCTCTGCCCTTTTCTTTTTTGTCTGTCTGCCTAACATTTATTTAACTCTCTCACTGTCTGTCTGTCTCTTTATATCTTTGTTTGTCTCTCTGTCTGTCTTTGTCTTTGTTTATTTATTTGCATTTTCTTTTTATTCATTTCTCTTTATTCTCCTCTCCTTCGTTCAACTGCCGAGCAATAATAGTAATAATAATAATAATAATAATAATAATTATTATTATTATTATTATTATTATTATTATTGTTATTATTGCTGACTCCACAACAAACAGATGCAGCTCAAACCCCTAGCAAAGAAGCCCTCAGCTAGCTATGGCTAGCTGTGGCTAGCTAATACTAGACATGGCTAGCTGGGACTAGCGATGGCTAGCTGCTCCTAGTTATGGCTAGCTAGTACTAGCGGTCAGTAGGTATGATTTGATATGGCTAGCTGTGGCTAGCAATAGCTAGCCATAGCTAGCTATGTGTAGATATGGCTAGATATGGCTAGCTATGATTAGATATGGCTAGCTGTTTGTAGATATGGCTAGCTGTGCGTAGATATGGCTAGCTAGAACTAGCTATGGCTAGCCCTTACTAGATACTCCTAGGTAGGGCTAACTACTGCTACTTATGGCTAGCTAGAACAAGCCATGGCTAGCTGAAGCTAGCTGAAATAAATAAAAATATTTTATTTAATTAAAATAATTAATCAAACAAAGCAGAAAAGAAACAAACAATCAACGCAATCGTACACTAGGGAGAGCCACCCCCCGCCGCCGACGGGGATTAGAATGGATGTCTAGAATGTTTTGTATGAATTTTTTTCGTATTTTTAAAATTTTAAATTGAATTAAACAAAATAATTAATAATTTAATTTAATTTTCAACATTTAAAAGCAAAAGGTCAACGCAAAACAGCAAAAAACACATCATTCAACAGGGGGGGCCCCTCTGCAGCCGACAACAGACAACCACCACAGGGGGGCCCCCAGGTCTCGTCAATTGAAATTGTTTAAAGATTTAATTATATTATAATTATAATAATTCTTTTTTATTATTTTTTGTATTTGTTTTGTTTTGCTGTTCAATCAAAAAAGAAAACACTCTGGCGGGGCATGCGCCAAACGCCGCAAGACCCCCGGCAACCGACAAACCCTAAACCCTACACCCTAAACCCTACACCCTAAACCCTAAAGCCTCGAAGTCGATACACCTGCATAAAGGAGGTCTCCCAGTTGCCTCTACTGTACTGTTTGCCTCCATCCTGCTTCATACGGCCCCCCCAAGCAGCAGGTGCTGCAGCAACAGCAGGAGCAGCAGCAACGACAACAGCACCAGCAGCAAGAGCAGCAGCAGAAGCATCAGCAACAGCAGCAGCAGCAGCTAATAAGGTAGCGCGAGCGCCCGCTGCAGCGAATGCTGGAGCCCCTCGAAGGCGCCTCTGCTGCAGGGGTGCGGGGGGCCCCCAGCAGTGGTGCTGCTGCTGCATGTGGGGTTGCCGGTGTGTCTGCTGCTGCTTCCGCTGCACCACCGCATGCAGCAGCAGAATCAGCAGCAGCAGCAGCAGCAACAGCGCCTGCAGCAGCAGCATCTGAGTATCCTGACTCATCCGCAGATGGGCCCCCTTCCTCTTCTCGCCCCGCGGCAGCTGGAGCGGGGGCCCCCCACGTGAATACTCGGGGGGGCCCCCAAGTGGGTACTGGGGGGCCCCCCCAGATGGGTACTGAGGGGGCCCCCCAAGTAGGTACTGGGGGGGCCCCCCAGATGGGTACTGAGGGGGCCCCCCAAGTGGGTAATGGGGGGGCCCCCCAAGTGGGTACTGAGGGGGCCCCCCAGATGAGTACAGGGGCTGGGGGCCCCCAGGTGGGTACTGGGGGGGCCCCCCGTTTCTCGAGTTTGTGGGGGGCATGGAAGGAGACAGCCTGTTGTCTTCATTCATTTAGTCGTGTTGCTGCTTATCCTTCTGCAGCAGAAATACTAAAGGCAGTCTATGAACTCCAATCAACCCCTCCTAATGCCCAGCAGCAGCAGCAGCAGCAGCAGCAGCAGCAGCAGGCGCCGGTTCTTCCTGCTCACTTTGCTGCCGCTGAATCCACCCCTTGTCCTCCAGCAAAAGCTGTAATCTCCTACAGGGATTTCAAAAAGGCAAGCGCAAACCCTAAACCCTAAACCCTAAACCCTAGGAGTTGTAAAGGCATATGTGCGTTCAGGGCTTCACAGAAAGTGGAAGGGCTCAGGCTCTATAAAAAGGGTTTAGGGTTTAGGGTTGCGGATCCTGTAGAATTCAGGATATTCTAGGGTTAAACCTTTAGGGTTTAGGGTTTAGGGTTTAGGGTTTAGGGTTTAGGGTTTGCGTTTCAGGCGGGTGCAGTTGGAGGGGGCCCTTTTTCTTCGTTTTTTTCTCCCGCTGTTTTCTGCGAATTTCTTCGCGACGCCCACGGCGACATCTCTACGCAAACCGCAGCCAGGACTCTGCTCAATACCAGTCAGACACGCTTTAGGGTTTAGGGTTTAGGGTTTAGGGTTTAGGGTTTAGGGTTTAGGGTTTAGGGTCTAGGGTTTAGGGTTTAGGGTCTAGGGTCTAGGGTCTAGGGTTTAGGGTCTAGGGTCTAGGGTCTAGGGTTTAGGGTTTGGGGTTTAGTGTTTAGGGTTTGGGGTTTAGTGTTTAGGGTTTATGGGTTAGGGTTTAGGGTTTAGGGTTAGGGATTAGGGTTTAGGGTTGTGGGGTTTGGGGTTTAGGGTTTGTGGTTGAGTTCTAGTGTCTTGGGGTTAGAGGGTAGGGTTAAAGGCTTGCGGTTTAGGGTTTAGGGTTTAGGGTTTAGGGTTTGTGGTTTGTGTTTAGTTTTTCATGTTCATGTACGAGAGAAGGTGCAGCCGTATTTAAACGAGAAGGAAGAATTCACCATAGACGTGAGGCAGCTCTCCGCTGCTGCTGCTGCTGCTGCTGCTGCTGCTGCTGCTCTTGTGTCTCTTGCTGTTTGTACCGTTTCTGCTGCTGCTGTTGCTGCTTCTGTTGCTGCTGCTGCTGCTGCTGCTGCTGCTGTTGCCTCATCTCGGTGGCGTTGAGGGCCTCGCCTGCAGCATTTTCCAGAAAAGTCAAGGGTTTAGGGTTTAGGGTTTAGGGTTTAGGGTTTAGGGTTTAGGGTTTGTGGAGTGTCTGTACAGAGGCTAGCCGAGATGTTTATTGATTGGGCCTCTGACTCCTCTTTCCCCGCTCTCTTTGCTGTTTTAAATGAAGACAGAGCAGCACACCCTGGCTTCCTTCTCTTCTTTGCAAGATATCTGGTGCTGCTGCTGCTGGTTTTGCTGCTGCTGCTGCTGCTGCTGCTGCTGCTGGTCTTGCCGCTGCTGCTGACTTTTTTGCTGCTGCTGTTGCTGCTGGGGCACCTGCGCTGCTGCTGCTAAATTTTATTTTTGCTGCTGTTGCTGCTGCCTTTGTATGTGTGCTGTTGCTGCTGTCGAACACCTTCGTAGTTGCTGTTGCTGCCCTAGGGTTTAGGGTTTAGGGTTTAGGGTTTAGGGTTTGTGTGCAGGCCGTCCGTTTGTTTTTTGTGCTGGACGTGGGAAGACGAGGGTTTGTACGCTGCAGAGATCTATTAGGGTTTGAAGAGTTTCAGCAACTCCTCAATACTCTATACAGACCTGTAACCCTAAACCCTAAACCCTAAACCCTAAACCCTAAACCATTTTGCATACTCTATGCAGACGCGTAACCCTAAACCCTAAACCCTTTTGCATCCTCTATACAGACACTAAACCCTGAGCCCTTGGGGAGGAGGCCTAAACCCTAAACCCTGTTTAATTCTCTCGACAAACCCTAAACCCTAAACCCTAAACCCACGGAACAGAGAAGAGACAGAAAGTGCCGCTACTAAGAAAAAAAAAACATATGCATATAAACAAATAAATACTTGCATATAAATAGACAAATGAATCTACCTAAATAAATAAATAAATATATAAATAAATAAATAAATAAATAAATAATTAATAATAAATAAATAAAATTAATATTTTTGCTGCTGCAGCTGCAATCCCCTCCAGAAGAAAATTCCTCGCAGTGGTCCGTGCAGTTTGCATACGACATCTTCAGTAAGTTTAAATATAAATATATATATATATATATGTAGATATATATAGTATATATATATATATGCATGTATATATATGTGTAGATATATATGTAGATATATATATATATATATATATATATATACAATGCATTCTATACGCATGTATATAATATATATATATATGATTTATATAATATATATATATATATATATATATACATAATGTATATAGTGTATATATACATATATATATGCATGTATGAATATACCCTCTTTTGTCTCTTTGCGGTGTATAGGCACCTCGATGTGTTTCTTTTAGGTGTA